AGAATAAAATAAAATAAAAAAAATAATAAAAAAAAAAATTGACTTAACTCCACAAACTTTTATAACTTATGACTTTTTTATAATGACCACATTTTTAATTTGAAAATAATTTTTAAACATAGAGGAAAAAAACAAAGTACTAAGGAGCGACTGTAAGTTAGATAACTACTTAAACCAGTTATCAAGTCAACTCTAACTCAGCTACCTCATGTGTATCAGGGTAGAACTGTGCTCCATAGGGTTTTCAATGGCTGATTTTTTGGAAGCAGATCATCAGGTCTTTCTTTTGAGGTACCTCTGGGTGGACTCGAACCTCTAACCTTTCAGTTAGCAGCTCAGCATGTTAACTATCTGCCCACCCAAGATGCAAATTAGATAAAGGCTGAATTAAATGATAGCAAGAGATGGATACAACCATGAAAACTATGCAGAACAAAAGTCAGAGTTGCTGGGAAAATCTGCCTGAGAGTAAGCTACCAATGAGATCTCTACAAAAAACACATGCACTCCAAAACAACGGTGAGAATAAAATGTTCTAGAGCTGTGCTGTCCAATAAGGTAGCCACCAGACAGATTGGTTATTCTGCACCTTAAATGTGGCTAGTCCAAAATAAGATGTGTTACATGAGTAAAATACACAATAGATTTCAAAGACTTAATATGATAAATAAGAATGTAATATATCTCAGTATTTTTATACTCATTACATACTGAAATATTATTTTGGAAATATTAGGTTAAACAAAATATTAAAACTATCTTTGCTTTTTTTTTTTAGTTTTTAATGTATCTATTAGAAAAATGAGGGCAGTGGTGGTTCAGTGGTAGAATTTTCATTTTCCACGCAGAAAACCTAGGTTCAAGACTTGGCCAATACACCTCCTGTTCAGCCACCACCTGTCTCTCAGCAGAGGCTTGAGTGTTGCTATGATGCTAAGCATGTTTCACAGGAGCTTCCAGATGAAGACAGACTAGGAAGAAAAGTCTGGCAATCTACTTCCAAAATCAGCCAATGAATATGCTATGGATCAAAACAGTGCAATACACAACTCATCAAAGGTATGGCACAATACCAGGCAAAACTCCGTTGTACATGGGGTTGCCACAAGTCTGGCCAACTTGATGGCAGCTAACAGCAACTGCACTAAAAAATTTAAAATTATATATGTAGTTCACATTCTATTTCTTTTGGACAGTGCTATTTTAGAGACTTTTGATAAAATATTCAACTTTTTCCACAACATCGGATTCTACTAGGAGATACCATTTACTTCAGACACATCACTTCAAAATAAGAAAGTTTGGTCCTTATGAATGATAATCAATTCCCTATTTATTAGATATAAGCTTCGTTTTCTCAATCACATAAATGGATGTAACTCAATCACATAAATGGATATGTGAAGATCTAACTTTTCCACACACAAGACTATATACAAATGTAAAGTCATTAGTTTATAATGTAGGATGAGATAAGGAAAAAAAACTGACACCTCCTCTACCTATCTCCTAAAGAGGAAATTTTTCTTTTGTGAAAATCAAGTCACACCAAAATTTGTACACAAATGTTCGTAGTAGCATTATTCACGAGAGCCAAAAAGTGGGAACAACTGAAATGTCCATCAACTAATATGTAAATAAAACATGGTATAACCATACAATACACAGTTATTCATTAACAAAAAGGAATAAAGTACTAATACATCCTACAACATGGATGAACCTTGACAACATTATACTAAGTAAAAAGAAGTCAGTCACAAAATACCCTATATTGTATGATTCTATTTATGTGAAATGTCCACAATAGGCAAATCTACACAGAGAGAAAAGTGCGTACATTAGTGGTTGCCTCGGGCTGAGGCGTGGTGGGGAGAATAGAATGAGGAGTGACTGCTAATGGGTTGGGGGTTTTTTGGGGGGCTGATGAAAATAATCAAAAACTGATTGTGGTAATGGCTGTACAACTCTGTGAATATAATCAAAACTACTGAATTGAATACTTTAAATAAGTGAATTATATAGTATGTGAACTATATTTCAATTAAGTTATTTTAAAAAAAAGTAAAGCAAAAAAATAATCAACACAGAAAAATCAATATAAAAAAGGTTGCTAGTAATCTTACTGAGAACATTCTGAGGTCTTTCCTTTATTTTGATAGTCCATTATACATTGAATAAGATGGTTATTTTCATCCAACATCTGAAATGAAATTAGAAAAAGTTTATTACAAGTTTAGTGCATGGAGAAGCATTAATAAATATTGTTTTTCGAAGAACTTTAAAGTAGATCCCCTAACAAATTACTGTTACCCCAAAGCGATCATTACACATTATAAAAAAATCATTAAACAAACATGGTAATATAAAAAACAAAATTCCCTTAACATTATTTTTTGTTAAATGTTGTTACCTGATGCTACAACATAGATATTTTTAAATTCATTTTAATACCTTAAATAAAATTTCAGAGAGATTAGTGAATTCAGCTTTCTCATATAATATTTCATTACATATTAAACTATTTCAATCTGCTGAAAAAATACTGAAAGCACAGTTCACACGTACAACTCTCTCAATAACTGATTTTTTCCTTAGGTGTCTTGAAATGTTTTATCTATATAGGAACTGAATCCACTCAGGTCTTTTGTATAGATAACATATAGCTCACCACAGAAAATCTTATTTTGCCAACTCTTTGGAACGATAATTTGTTTAATCAACAATTCTTTTAATACCTCTATTCCCAGATGCTCCCTATGAATTTTTATCTAAAGCCTAGAAGGAAAAATTTGGAGTTTCTTTTGTATTCAAATATTTAACTCTCTCTCCTCAACAGAAGCTTTAGCTAGTTATGACTAAAAGTTAAGAGTCCAAGTTGGCTTTGCAGTAAATTTATGAAAACTTCAGTCCAGGAGGCTTGATATATTGGCTGGCTAGTTGCCAAGTGTTATACAGTATGGTTTTGCGACTCCCCAAGTATGGCATAATAATCAAATACAATAATCTCTATGCATGTAAAATACTGCAAACTTTATGAGCTTATCTTATAATTAAGTTGTCCCAAAATTTTCAAAATAAAAGCATATCGATTTCTCATTCTATTATCTTATAAAGCAATCCTGGCTTTAAGGGCTAAATAATTAATCTACGTAAAGGAGCACTGAGGAAAGAATACTGATGTAGCGACTGGAAAGCCGGTTAGTTTTAGTGGCAGCTTTGCAATCCTGAAAAAAATACTTAACTTTTCAGGGACTCATTTATCTGTAAAATCAAGAGACGAGAATAGATAAGTCTATGTTTCTCTTGAACTTTCCATTCAATGAAAACATGAGGTACAGCACCATAATCATTCTATCGCAACAATTTAGGTAGAATGTAACTCTTGCAGGAGAAAGATGTGGCAGTCAGCTTCAGTAAAGATTTACAGACTTGGAAACCCTACGCGGCAGTTCTACTCTGTCCTGTAGGGTCGCTGGGTCGGAATCGACCCAATGGCAATGGGTTTGGTTTGGTAACTATTAAAAAGGAAGATCCATTTAACATTAATTGTAACTTTTTTCTGCACATGAACCATTCTTGTTAGAAAAAGTATCAACATGCCCTTCTAATAACTGCAGCTATTTCCTAAATAGAATCGTATGATGCCAAAAAAAAAAAAAAAGTCCTTAAAATGGCATTAATCTAATCCTCAACCTAACAATTTTGCAACATATCTTTTCAGCATATTCCTCAACCTAACAAACTTCACTGTTAGAATATCTGTCTTGTATCTGACATCGATGCCTCACATTGTAGAATGAGGCACCTAACTTGAAATCCATTTTCTCTTTTCATCTGAGGATGAAAAATAATCGATCAGCATCCCCTAAATTAATCACCCATGACAAATATCTCAAGAAAAATTCGTTACAGAAAAAAAAGTAAATACAGAAAAACCCAGGACTTTTTCTATATCCTAAAAAGAAAAATAAACCCCTTCGAAAACATTGTGTGTGTGTGTTAGCTGTTTGCCAGGCTGCAGCTTTAGCCCAGTACCCTACATGAAGCATTATATTTCCAGTCACTGCCAAGCCAATTTATTCATAAAATAAAGCAACAGTTGGGCAAATGTGAAATGCCACACTACAGAAAACCTGACAGTAAACAGAAGCCGATTACCATACTCTACTGGGGACACAATGGTGTCCTGAGTGATACTAAAAGTTGACTTTTCTTCAATTTTCATCCTTGCTTCAGTGCATAACACCAAAACCGAAAGAGGTAAGGGAAACGGCTAATTTTAGGAAGTAATTTCTTAAAGTCTGAGTAAAATTTAGAATGCTGTCTTGCTCATAGACAACAAGGGGTAGACGACAATAAAGAACCTTTGTGTCCCAAACTGGCAGCTACACAACAACGACAGTGGTAGCACTACCCTCTAACGGGGACCCAGCTCCCTGTGTATTTATCACAAATTATAATTTGTCTCCATCATCTGATTGTTTCCACCACTGGACTGTATGCTCCATGAAGGCAGGGATTATGCCTCACCACTGTAGCTTCAGCGCCTAAAATATGCGCTCAGTAAATACTTACTTCAGCTGTAAATGGTTACGGGTTGACTAAAGAAAGAAGAAGAGGACTCCTAAGGTAACCCGAAGTCCGTAGGGTGCTCTCTCACCCGTCCCTCTGACTCAACTAAGGTGCCCTGCGGCGTCCTCCGCGTTCTCCTGCGTGCTCCCCAACTCCGCTAGAGTTTGGGGGGCGGCAAACGCGCGGGAGTCGACCAGCGCTCGGACTTTCCCTCCGCCTCCCGCGACCAGAGGTCGGGTCTGCAAGAAACAGCCGCCCGCGCGGGGCGGGGCGACGCCAAAGTAACTCAGGAGCGACGCGTGAGGGGCGCCGACTGCGAGAAACAGCCGGTCCTCGCTCGGCCCCGCCGCCCGAACGCCGCCCCATCCCTAGAGAAATCGGGCGGCACTTAACTGGGCTTTTGTGCCTGTAGGAAAGAGCCTAAACGCGCGAAAGACTCCACGAGAAAACTGGTTTGCTCTCTTCGCTCACAGCCCGCGGCTCTGGTTCCCAGACAACTACTTCCCACCAGGCCCGCCTCCGCCCCCGGCCGGGCCGACTCCCGGCCGGCCCTGCCCCAGTGTCTCTCCCAAAGGCGATTTGGCCTGGCATCCCGACCCGCGAGGTTTCACCTTCTGAATAGCAGCGGGAGTGATCTCCCCCTTGCCTCGCTGCCTCGGTGCTGCGAACGCCACAGACATGTTGCCGCCGTCACCACTATCAGCAAGTCCCGAGCGCTCCGGGTGAACGGCAAACTGGGGAAAGACACCGGCCTCCCGGGTTGAACCACGTCAGGAACAAGAGGAGGGGGACGCTCCAGTGCCGCCGAACAAACCACCAGCCGGTCTGGCCCAAAGAAGAAAGTCTGACCCGTGAAAGTCTTGTTTCTGCTTGTTATTTGAGAACCACAGCTCCAGTGTAACTTCCCTGTTCTTTATCGTCCCCGCGTCCCTCAGACTTTATTTATCCGGCCACCCCTCCCGTTTGTGCCAATGGTAGGGCCGCGCCCCAGCCCTCCCTCCGCTTCAGCGATTCAGGAAATGGTCCCGCCGCCGCGGGAGAGAGAGAGGCTGGGGCAGCCCCTGTCACAGGAAATGCGAGCGACCCGAGCCGGCCCGCCCCTTTCGCGCGGGTGCAACTTGCCTCCTTCTCCGGCGCACTGAAACGTCTGTCCAACTGCGTTTCGGTGCTCTGCTCTAGACATGGTTTAGTTTTCCCAACTCCATTAGCACCCCTCTTGGGAAAAAGTAGCCGCCTGGACTTGTCCTGGTTCTCGCCACGATGCAGGGCAGGGGGAGGCAGCCCGGACAGGGGTGGGTCAGTACCCAGGAGTTCGTGCAAACCCAGGTAGCATCAGCTAAGATGAAGCAGAGGTGCAAGGACTATGAGAACGCGGATTCGCTAGTTTAAACGGCTCGGCTACGCCCCAAATGCGCACCTCCGAGTCCACGGTCTCACACGTACACAGAGTCAAGCCTAACAATGGAAAGTAAGTCTGACTCAAAATAGGGAAATGAAGGTTGTATCATGTACTCAGGGGCAATCAACCAACTTGACTAGAACGACCATAGGAGCGCACCTCTTGAGACAAACCCTTAGCATAAATGATGGATCTTTGGAATTATATTTTGAAATAGAGCACCCTCACTGTTTCCTTTTACAGTTATATTTTGTTGTTGTTGTTGTTAGTTGCCTTGGAGTCCATGCCAACTCATGGAAACCCATGTGTGCAGAATAGAATTGCTCCATAGGGTTTTCAAGGCTGTGACCTTTCAGGAGCAGATAAGCAGGCATGTCTTCGAGAGAGGGCTGGTTCCAACAGCTTAACCATTTGTGCCACCCTAAAAACCAACTCAACTACTTCAGTGGATTCTGACTAGTTGAGTGGATTCTGACTCATAGTGGTCCTCTAGGACAGAGTAGAACTGTCCCATAGGGTTAACAAGGCTATATATTACCTTGTTAACAGAAGCAGACGGCCACATCTTTCTCCCATGGAGCAGGCTGATGGGTTCTAACCTAGTGGGGTTCTTTATGAGACCCCATGTATATGAGACCAAACGAATCAACACTTACTTAAAGGTGCACCTCACGCCTTTTGGTTAGCAGCCAAGGGCTTAACCACTGTCCTACCTTAGTGTCTTTTAAATTAGGCCTAAGCTTCCAGGCTTCAAGTCAGTATGAGAAAAGAAAAAACTAAGTTTTCAAATTATGGAAAAAACACAGATGAATGTGGATAATGTGTTCTGTGTTGTTTTATGATTATTATTCTGTAAATTTAGACTTCCCATATAGGGTCACTGTGAGTCGCAATTGACTCAATGGCAATGGGTTTGGTGGAGTTTAAGCCTTGAAGAAAGCATTCTGGTATATTTGGCTTGATGTAATCACATCAAATTGGGAAAAAAATTCTATTGAATTCAAAATACACCAAATCTCATCCATCGCTATGTGTCCAACACCTGGTATTCATCATCCTGTCCTGATGTTTAGGCAAAAGTACCTTAGTTAAGAACAATTTTTCGGTAGGAAAAATGGACTTTAAATAGTCCTGCTGCCCCAGATCACCCCCCTTGGCTTTTCTGCAGCACACCAAGCAAAATTTCTAGCAGTCTTTGCATCCTTTGTTAATTACAAAATAAACCATTGGATGAAAATATCTTTCCTTTCATTGGTTTTTGTACAATACAAGAGCTGCTTTAAAAAAAAAAACAATTGCTGTCTAGTCACTTCTGACTCATGGCAACCCCAAGTGTGCAGAGTAGTACTGTGCTCCATAGGGTTTTCAAGGCTATGACCTTTCAGAAACAGATCACCAGGCGTTTCTTCAGAGGCACCTCCGGATGCGTTTGAACCACTGATCTTTCAGTTAGTCTACCGCTTAACCCTTTGCACCACCCACAGACTCCTGCATTAGCTGCTAGGGCCATATTTACTTATAGTGTGTCACCAAAGCCAAGAGCCTACATGATTTTTAAATTTTACAGAGAAATGTGAACCAAGGTAATAGTTGTCTAAATCCCTATAACCCACTTACAAAAAAACAAAAGTGCCCAAGGATAGGTACTTCCTTTTTTCAAATTATAATTTCCCAACAGCGGGAATGAGAATTCAACTGAGAATAATTTACAAGTTCCCCTGAGACATTTGTTCGTTCAGAGTAGCAGGGTAGGGTTTAGGGCACACGTAGCCTCCTAGGCATGGATAACCACACCCTTTTCTGGGACTACAGTATGCCATTAAAATCTTACTAACTAGTGTCCTATCTTGGAGGTTGGAAAGAAGTGGTTTAGAGGTCCAGCCAGAAATGCAAGTTCACTTGAGAGAAGTGAGCACCTAAACGAACACTCTAGCTTCCTTCATAAAACCCAGTCTGTCAGCCTGACCTAGGAAAGTAGAAGAGTCAGAAAATGAGAGGGAAGATTTCAGCATCAGTGCCTTGAGGAACTTTCTTAGAGTTTTATATTCTTCGGAAATTTAAGAGCCCTGAGTTAGTGGAAAGATAGCTAGGGAGACCTCGTATGTCACTCTTCACTATTAATTTTTTGTTTTTTAGTCTTTTTTAGGAAATTTTTAAAAATTTTTTCATATAATTTTATAAATATTTTTCATTTTATGATGTAAAGAAAGATTTGGAGTTTATATATATATATACATATATATACATAATTGCATTTAAGGTGAAAGTTTACATAGCAAATTAGGTTCCCATTTGAAAATTTTATGCAACTTGTTCCCTGACATAGATTACATTCTTCACAATGTGTCAACATTTTCATTATTTCCATTCTTTTTGTTTTGTTTCCATTGATCTAGTTTCCCTGCCCCTCTTTACCTTCTTAGCTTTGTTTTAGGGTAAATGTTGACCTTCGGTCTCTTATAATTGATAATTTAAGGCTGCACAGTATTTATAGGTGATGTTGTTTGTTATTATTTGGATGAATAGTGACCATTGAGAGTGGCTTCAGTTCCATATTCAAAGGGTATCTTAGGGCAATAGTCTCTGGGGTTCTTCTACTCTCTATTGCTCCAGTAAGTCTGGCCTTTTTTAGAATTTGAGTTTTGTTCTACATTTTTCTCCTTTCTGTCTGGTCCCTTCTATTGTGCCTCTGGTCAGAACGGTTGGTGGTAGCTGGGCACCATTTAGTTCTTCTGGTTTCAACCTAGTTGAGGCCATGATTCATGTAGGCTATTAGTCCCATGGATTAGTTTATTCTTTGAATCTTGGTTTCCTTCATTCTCTTTTGCTCTAGATAAGTAGAGACCAACAGTTGTATCTTAGACGGCCAGTCACAAGCTTTTAAGACCCCAGACACTACTTACCAAACTGGAAGTAGAACATTGTCTTTATGAACTTTGTTATGCCAATTGACTGAGTTGTCCCACGAGACCATGGTTCCAACACCATTAGTTTTTAAGAGAGAGGAAGCTGACGCACAGATTGAGTGATAGCACAGTTCAGAGGAAAAGGAGAATAAATAGAATCCCCAGTGTTTAGGAAGAAACTGAGAGTGGATATAAAGAATGAAGTTGGCTTATGTCTGGGAGATATCTCTGGGGGATTAAAAATGAGCTATTCTAGCAACTATATCCCCAGCTAGAAAAATCAGTCCCATTATTTAGACCACTTTTGAATTTCTGAAGAAGGAATCGAGGTCAAGATGTTTACCTAAGTTTTATTGACTACAGAAAGGCATTCGACTGTATGGATCATAACATATTAATAGATAACATTACAAGGAATGGAAATTCCAGAACACTTAACTGTGCTCTTGTGAAACCTGTACATGGATCAAGAAGCAGTCATTCAAACAGAAGGGATATTGCATAGTTTAAAATTGGAAAAGGTGTACAGCAGGGACGTATTCTTTTGACTTTATTTATTCAATCAATATGCTGACAAATAATCTGAGATGCTGGACTGTATAAAGAAGACTGTGGTGTAAGAATTGGAGGAAGACTTATTAACAACCTGTGCTATGCAGATGACAAAATTTTGCTTTCTGAAAATTAGGATGACATGAAGCACTTATGTGAAGTCAAAGAGTATGGCCTTCAGTACAGATTATACCTGAACATGAAGGAAATAAAAATCCTTACAACTGGAACAATAAACAACATCATGATGTTGATGTTTTTGTTAGGTTCCCTTGAGTCAGTTCTGACACATAGCGACACTGTATAACAGAACGAAACCCTGCCTGGTCCTGTGTCATCCTCACAATCATTGCTATGTTTGAGCTCATTGTTGGAGCCACTGTGTCAATCCATCTCGTTGAGGGTCTTCATCTTTTTCACTAACCCTCTACGTTACTGAGCATGATGTCATTCTCCAAGGACTGGTCCCTCCTCATAACAAGTCCAAGTATGTGAGACAAAGTCTCAACATCCTCGCTTCTAAGGAGCATTCTGGCTATACTTCTTCCAAGACAATCCATGATACATTTAATATTCTTCACCAACACCATAATTCAAAGGCATCAATTCTTCTTCAGTCTTCCTTATTCATTGTTCAGCTTTTGCATGCATAGGATGCGATTGAAAATACCATGACTTGAGCCAGATGTATCTTAGTCCTCAAGCTGACATCTTTGCTTTTTAACACTTTAAAGAGGTCTTTTGCAGCAGATTTGCCCAATGCAATACGTCATTTGATTTCTTGACTGCTGCTTCCGTGGGCATTGATTGTGGGTCCAAGTAAAATGAAATCCTTGACAAATTCAATATTTTCTCCGTTTATCATAAGGTTGCTTATTGGTCCAGTTGTGAGGATTTTTGTTTTCTTTCTGTTGAGGTGTAGTCCATACTGA